AGAGCTTTAATATGAACTAGCGAGCAAATAGTAAATTCATGATGGATCCAACAACGGAGACATATAGCGCATTCTTTCTATCTTCTTTTACCGTATAAAGCGATGATAGGGGTCGCGGGGGCAATATACACGACGTATATATTCGTCCGTAATTGGAGCGCGTCGCTCGGCGAATCGACCGTGATATAAAACGAATCGTATAAAGACCGTACTTTAGTTGGTTTTTGCGTGCGGTTTTTAGCCGTCGTACCTCCGGTGGTCTCGTTAGACTGGACGATGGGAGGTCCGAAAGATATCCGCGCCGCGGCTGTATACGCGTCCGCATTTACTCCATGTACCAGATCGCCTCGCGGAATCCCTAGATCGATCTTTTGTGAGACGTCTCGCAAAAATAAGTATCAGAAAACGAATATCCGTTCAATATGAGCTTTATTTACATCATCAAATATTGGTAATTTCTTCATATATATATATGTATGTACCATTTTATATCAAATTTATCAATCGTTATTATAATTTCCTAGAAAATCGTATATATGTATATTATATATTTTATTTTGCTTCCTTATTTCAAAAGTGGCAACTTAAAAGTTAAGTTTTCCAAAAAAAAGGGAAAAACTTATTTTTTAATTTGACAGAAAGCTTATATTCTTATTAATAACACATAATTAATTGACATTTTGTTATTTTTATTTAAAACTTTTAAAAATAACTTTTTTAAGTTACCTATGGCGATTTCTTTAAATCACCTTTTTACAGTGGGGACGATTTATTATGTAAAAAACGATTTGTTATGCTAGTTAATTTACTTTTGATAAATGATAGCGTAATGTTTATTTAACTCTTTTATGGTAATAACTTTAAAATTACGTTTTTTAAGTTGCGTCACTTTCGAAATAAGAGAGCGATTTATCGAGGATATTTTGTACATATATCGATGCGTGATGTACATTCGAGATATCGCCAAGTGGACACTAAAAACAGTTAATTATGTCAAACGAGAAGCGTTGAGGGCAGATGGGACCCAGCTGAAAACGCAAATAATATCAGGAATGTAAAGCATTTTGTTGGGTGAAATTATAGCTTTTAATGAATCTAAGGGATCTCTAAAAAAAAACGTGGAGTCTCGCTGGTAAAGGAAACGAGTGCGGAAGTTATCGAACCGCACGATCTGGTCTACCGTTTAGCCAACCGAGTATTAGAAGTTGTCACAGGTGCTCGCCCGTATACCACGCTCCACGTACGCACGCACGCACGCACGCACGCACTCTAAGAAAACGGGCGAAGATTCTCTTAAGGGCAGCCGCGTGTGTATATTTGGGTTTCCCACAGTTTTGCACACGATTTTTGCCATCCCGCCTCGCGCCGGCGTTTGCCGACGGACAGACGGAAGCCATCGCGAACTTCAAAGATTCACGATCAGGGTGCCTCGAGTGGTATAGGCAGTGCACATTATGATGGTGCCTACCTAGTCGAGGCCGACATGTCCTCGGCGGCCGGCGTCCTCGGCAGCGCGTGCACACAAAGTCGAGGACTCGGCCAACACTCCAACGGCAGCGCGTTTATCGTCGAAGACCGGCGGTCTGAACAAAGTACACCTCGCCGATGCGGCTAATGGCAATCTTGTTTTATGCCGGGCGGCTTGTCGCGCGACAAAAATCGTTTGCACGTAAGCCAGATTACTTATTGCCCAGAGACGTGTGTCAACCTCACAGACCGAAGCATCTGATTCTCTCGCGCTGCAAAAATTGATAACGAATTGATATCACTAGTGCATATTAAAGCTGTACACTGATCTGATTCGAGTTAAAAATGAAATATATATGTATTTTGAATTATAAAATAATTATATATCTGGTTGAAGTGGATTTTGGTGTCTAATGATATTTATATGTACAGTTTCATATTAAGTTTCAATTTATTAAGTACCAAGACCCGCATTGATCAAACAGCTTTCTTCATTTATTTGTGTTGAGCATTTTCTTTACCATGCAATTTTCATTTTAACATTTTTATCAGACGTCAATAAAGATATTGCGGTTTAATCCGGTTTAACCTATTTCTACATTTATATTAAATACACATCTTTATATCAATTAGTGCATGATTTAATCTGTATTAAGTGCATCCAACCGAATGCGCCATAAATTTTGCACAAGAACCGCCGTGATTCGTGATTTCGACTCCGCGATTTTTATTGCTACTATATTGATCGTTTTAAAAAATCTCTTCGCGTACGAGCAGATACTCTGGTCATTAGGATTAATTTTTAACACAATTCAATTCCACGATGACATTTATTGATTGACGTTTATTGAAAACAAATTTCGACGGTGTGACGATGTCATTTCAGGTAGCGTTCCGCGGTAATCCGATGATATATCCAATAATTGCTGCGCAGCGGTCGTTTAAGATTCAATCACCAAGTAAAGTATCGATACGAGAGCGTTCGAACCAAATTGCTAAATTACAAACGTTTATATACGACTCCATCAATCATCGACCCCGACGCGGGTGAGCTGTGCGTTGCATGGAACTGCGCCACGCGATGATAACGACTGACAAGTGTCGAGTATTAGTAACGTTTTAAGCGTGCGTCAGTCAGCGTCGAAGCAACGAGGGAATTAAAATGCGAGAAGTTAAAAAAAAAACAAAAAAAAAAGAAAAAAGAATAGCTGAACAATCGTCGAAGTAAATCGATGCAAAAGGCTCGAACGTGCAAGGGAGGGATTCGAAGTACCATCGAACGAATCGTGTCGCTGTCAGTAACAACGCATTAACGCGTTCATATCGCATTCCTACCCTTCGTTCATTCGATTACATCGCACTCTCATCCTGTATATTTGTTCGTCCTCCCCGCAGTACACATTCGATACATCTTTTTCTCCGTTACTCGCGTTGCTGAGACACCCCTGTAAACTCATGTAAAATATTCGCGATCGGAGCAGATACGAGGGAGCAACGTACTGGTCATTATACACTTCGTGGAGGGATACTTTTTTTTATTGGTGCGACATTTCCTTCTCCTTATCGCACGCGCGGTACTTAAACTTCATCGAGCTCCGCAAATTGCTCCAATTAGTATATCAGTATTACAAAATGACGAGTCAAAAGTTTCCTCGACAATGTCTATACAAGGATAGAAATAATTTTGTTATCAAAATAATTATAGAACTCTCAAGCTGATTACTATAGAATGTCAAAACCATTTGCAGTTTTGCTCATCATGCTTGTATTTTCTACATATTTCTTTTGATGATCGAATAAAATTATTTTCAGATGTATCTATCTAAATTTTTAGATACTTTAGCAAAATTGTTCTTTCCATAGACATAATTGTGAAATAAATAGAGGAGATAAAAATATAATACGAACACCTAGGAAATTATATTTATTTCACTTATTTCATTAATAAGAGGTTGGCTCAACATTTGCTTTTAATTCACATTCTATTTTTATTGGAATAGTCACATAATGTTAGAATAATTATTAACAGAATATTAGATTATTTAGTATTCTTTTAGTATATACATAAAACATTTTTCAATTGTTTATATGAATGATATTGGAGTAGAAAATTCTCACTTTACTTTCCAAAATTGCTCTCTCTTTTCCGAAATCAATATTTTTGCTGACAAAGGTAAAATCGCCCGATTTTAATATCATTTGTAGTTTTGAAGAACGGAATGAAAAATAGATTCCTCCTTTAAAATAATATTTTCGAGTAGTTAGATGTTCTGCTAAAAGAATGGTATAATATTACATTAGTATTTGCTACGTTATTTAAGCATATATGACTTTTCCAACACTTAGGATAAAATCTAGGTATATAAAAGACAAACGGGGTAAACTAATTTCTATTATAAATAAAACAAGTGGATAGCATATCTTTCAGCTGTTCGTATGATTTTATCTATTTCCTGTAAATCGTGTATACATTCTCGTATCACGAGGGGCGCTACCAAGAAAATAAGCTTTGCTGCGATTCCAATATCCTCCTCAATCTCAGCATCTTCGGCATCTCGTCGAATTCCCGCGGTCAGCTCGGTGAGCACAGGCTCGGAGGAAGGAACGCGGGGTTAAGCGGGTCGGGATATAAGTGAAATCGCAATAATTACCGGCGGCACGGATCACAAATCCCGCAGTACGGTAGTTGGTAGGCGGGATGGTCTACCAACAGACGCATACAGGTATTATACGCAAGCTCTTTGTCGGGGGGGGAGGGGGAGAGGAGGGGGGGCCTCGGAGGAGGGGTACGGTTTATATTGGCGCCACCTCCTGCACGGTTAAGCGAGCGACTAGGGCAGACTTACGCCTTACACCTCTCTCTCTCTCTTCTCCACTCTCTCTCTCTCCCTCACACCCCACCCGTCGTTCTCACCCTCTCATTCACTCGCGTTCTCTCTTTCTCTATCTCCTGCTCCCTCTATTCTCCTCTCCCCCCTCTCTCTCATCGGCGACGACCCTCTCTCGTCTCTCTCGCCGCGCGCGCTCTGATGCTGCACAACTCCCGCTCGCTGGCTAACCCAACCTAACCCGCGGGCGAACTTCATTCCACGCCGACTGACCACCACCGACGGCCGTCGTCGTGTCCTCGACGCCGCCGTCGTCGTCGCCGCCTCGTTGTCGTTCGTCAGAGAACGCGGTCACGCGACACGTCAATTCCGTCGTCGAGGAATCGGTGTACTTATACGTGGTACTTAAGGTACTCACGTACGTGGATCTCTTTTTCTCTTTCTTCTTCTTGGCGGTGGTGCACCGGCGGCCACCCGGTGTGTCACGCCGATATTGTTGTGACTGGGATACGTGACTGGATTTTTTTGAAAGTGACTGTGTGCCTAATAGTATCTCCCTCTCGATCATACTTCACGAGAAACACGATTGTGTAGAGAAATTAAGGAGACGTGTTATAAAAGCAGGGGGACAGGAAGTTTGGCTCACCTCGTTCTCCACGGGGGAGGACCCGTCCGGAAGGCGAAGGGACGGAGGAAGACTCCACCATGGACATGTCCGAAGACTGTTGGGATCACGTGGGACTGCTCCAGGAAGTCTCCGCCGCGGAACCACCCCCGCCACCACCTGCTTCCGACTTCTTAATGCAACATCAAGAGGTAAGTGCTCTCTTCTTTCATTTTCTGGAGTAAATTGCGCTTTAACGTGTTCTGCAACGTGTAAAATTCGCAATTTAAGAGACTCAAGTCTGTCGAATGAATTGCCAAGCAAGAACGAAAAGCGCGGGAAAAGCAAAGTATACAGTAAATATGAGATATAATATCACATATCAGAGATGAGAAATAACTGCGTTATTAAAAAAATCATCAAGCAATAATTTTTCATTCATCGCGATGTGAACACAATCGGAGTAACATTATTTGCAAACCGGTTTGTTTTTTCGTTGCTGCGTGTGAAGAAATATTTGTTTTGATCTTCCATTTTTACCTTCACATGACGGGAAAGCCACTATAGTAGGGCTGAAACAGTGTGTCGCGTATTTTAAAACAAAGAGTATACACACACAATATAAAAAATAATGAATTAATATAAACTATTTAAAAAACTTTTAAATTTTCTCTTAAATAAGACAAGTTCTTATTTTCAAGAAAAAGTTGTATAAAATTTAAAAGACAAATCTTTATCCTCTAAAAGTTCTTCATCCTCTTAAAGCGATTCGTTAATTCGTAATATATAAGGAACTTATATCGAGTTAAAATGAAGAAAAACCTAGTCCGGTTTAAACTTAGCCCAGTCAGCCGATTGATCTGTGTGCGAGGGTAGGCTACATGCAATCGTACCCTCTTTTACTTAAACACACTTGGACAATTTCAGTATTTGTAGGCAGACCTCTATCAGTTTTTTTACGCGTAAACTTGTCTTATTGGCGTGAACACCCTGTAAAACCTATTCATCCTAAGTACGCCCGGAGGGCTACGCGTCGGATAGCTCTTTTTAATAAAACGCACGGCTATATACGTCGTGGGGAATTCCGGTGTGGAAACCATTATTATAATGATACGGCGGGACGCGCTGATTTCATTCCGTGAAAACGATTGCGGCACGTACGTCACACGAAGATCAAGGAACGTATATTTAATTACGCCGCTCTTGGCTATCCGTCCCCGTAGCTTCCGTAACTTCTTCGACACGCTAATTATAATACATCATTATTATCGAGCGCCATTTTGATTTACTTCAATGAAGGATCTTTAGCCTTCAATCTTCCGACGACCACCACGGCGATCCTGCTGCGACCGTATGGTTTAATGATTTAATGACGCGGGCACGTTGCTAGAAACTCATATTTCTTCCGTCAATGTTTTACCTTTCAAGACTAACAAGAGATAATATATATAATTCAGGGACGGGGTCTCAGAGCTGAGAGTAGCTTACGATACGTATTTATGAAGGACCTCTTTGCATAATCACGCGTTCAGTATCTTTTTACGTATCCCGCGTGAGACAATTGTGAGAGATACACTCTTAAATTCGCAAACTGTATTCCGGACACCCCGTATATCGGGTCGCAATTAAGAGACCGAATTGAGGCCCTCACGAGAAGCCGAAGCGATCGAACCGCGAGCTCGGCAACATTCCAGTAGGCTGCACCGAGGTAGAAGGCACCTGGATATATAGTCGTGGTGATTTCTCTGTTTGTTTAAGCCTACAGCAAATTAGTAATAATCACGTGGGACCACCTGTCATCGATTGCTTCGGAGCGGAGGGGGAGATTTATATGTTATTATACATATGTTACCTGTGTGCGAAGGGTCGAGACGAAGGAAAAGAATCGTCCTTAAAACGATCGACGAATCGAGGGACCCCGGCTCGTTCCGTTTCAATTTCGTCGAGCCTCCTTCCAAACGAGCTCTTTCTCTGTCTCTTTCTCTCTCCCTCTCTTTCTCGGCGGGACAGCATGAATCCATAGGGCGTTGGTTACGGTGCCCTGTAATCATATCCGAAATTATAGGCATTTAGTTGGGCATGAATGAGCGGATAGGAAAGTTTAAGAAGAAGATATCGGTGGCATCGGCGCGTCAGAGGCGCGTGCAGGGCCTCGGCCTCCGTTTCCTTTATGCCCCCTCCCGTGTCCTCGGCCCTACCGTTTGTTCGTCGCCGGTTTCTAGAGGCACCTGCACCTTCACCGCCCCGATCGCGGAGCTCAGATTCACCTCCGATACAGGACGCCCTTCCTGGCATCCTTCCTTCCGCCGCGAAGTCATGTTATACATGTGCACGCGTGAACCACGAGACACAACGATCGACTGTAATCCGTCATACACGATGACAATAACTGTCGTATATATCGCACGTCATAACGACACCGCCATTAGTAAAATCAGAGTCATAGTAATAAATCATAGTAAAATCAGAGCGTTCTCAGAAAATCTTACTCTTCTGAAAAATGGAATTTCTTTGATTTTTTTATTTGAAAGAGATATCGAAATATATATTTTTTAAGTAATCTAATTATCTAGTCAAATCAGAGTATTATTATAATCATGACGAATCATAGTAAAATCAAAACATCCCTTCAAAAAATTTTACCGCTCCAGAAATGTGATCTCTTTGATCTTTGATAAAAAAAATGTTAATTAATGTTAATTAGAATGTTTAAATAGAACTTCGACTATTGTCAAAAGACTACGTGTCATTCTATTAAAATAATACTAACAGTCAAAACAAGCAAAGCTAGTAATGAGAAATCGAAGATTCAATTAAATATTGACTATGTACAGGTATATAATAAAATATTATAGATACTTTCGTACAAAAAAAAGATTTGGACGATTGATGAATAGAGTGTTAATGAAAACGAGACGCATCGTGCTAATTTCATATTTAAGAGCACCGTCTATCTGCCAATGCCTGTGTCACAGTGACGCGATCGCACAATCGGCGACATGTGACCGGTACCTTGTTAAAACGAGATGCGAAAACACGATGGCGTCTTCGCGCGAAAAGGATTAAAGTAAGCGATCGGTCCAATTAAAATACGGCGGGAGACCATCCCTCGCATCGTGTCCAACACGTGACAAATGCGCGCACGGCGTGTCCCAGCTGCGGCATTGAAAAATGTCGGCGCACCGAATTATAGACCGTTAATCGAATCGCACCTGCGTCGCAAAAGCTTCAAGACTTTGTCTTGAAAGCTGGTTTCGCGGGGCGGACTCTCAAGCATCGTTCGGCTCACGTATAAGTTTCCCACGACGGGCGGGAGGGCGGACCCACAGCTTGAGGCCCGTGTGAGAATATCTGGTCTTATTACTCGCGTACGCAGGAAACACAGACGATCGACCATCGATTTTCGTATTCCTCCGACGTCCTACACTATACTCACTGCGCTACTCGCCTTTCTCTTTCATATTTCTTCCTATTTGTTTTTCACGGGCTTTATACTCGACATAGATCGTAGCTTAAATCCGAATCCCCGCACAGCTCCCGCGCAAAGCGACATTCCATCGTGTTCGATGGCCCTCGAATCCTCGAGTTCCTCCCGTTCACACCGAAAACTCGTGAATTCCGAGGTGAAGCGAACACGAGCGGACTACCGAAGACGCGAGCACGTACGCGCTTCGTGAGAGAACTCGGCCGATTCGTCGGCGATAACGGCGTCGCGCGTCCCGCTTCCGAATTACCCCGTTCTGCCGAGTATACTACGGTATGGTCGTGAAGAGAAAACGTAGAGACCGGGCACGAAAGAATCAAAGCGATAGAGCATGTGGCTTGCCCGGCACGTTCGTGTCGGACGAGCGAAGCGTCGATACGAGGCGCGGTAGAACGCAGGCATGAACGATTTGCGAAGCATCGTATCCGAGGGGCTTTGAAGGAATTTCAATTCGTGGCGAAGAGTTAGACGGCATAAGTCTTCCTCCTCTCCCTCGTGTAATTGATGTAAGTCGCGTGTTACGACTAAATTCCAACGCCTGAATGCGCTCGATGCATGGCGACGTTTGTTCGGACACCTTTTTTATGTTCCTGACTACTCGTGTAACTGCTCGCAGACTACCAATCGTGATCGTGGGAAATAATATTTGACGACTGTTATGCGGCGCTAAAAACTATTTTGCATATAATGATGAGATAATTATAACGTTGCGCTACTACCTTGTTTTCTTAGGGGCGCCTGTTAATTTCGTATTAATGAATATTACTCGCGCGCTCGTTAATTATATTCTATTATATTCCGAACGCACGCTCTGTATATAAATATGATTATATCATTAATTTTATTCTAACGACGCGGCAATTTTCCCAGCTACAGTATACGTTATTAAAATCTAGCATTATTATGGAAAATATAAACATCTGTTTATTAATTATAACATCATTATAGGATGCTAGAAGAAAATCATGTTTTTTTTTTCTCTCGATACTTTTCCAAATCAGCTAATTTACAATTTTACATTTATTTCAAACAAAACGCGATAATAACTATTAAACTTTCTATCTTGTCTATATTGGCGATTCGATATCCCATACGAGGAAGAGGAGGCCTTCGTACTGTTCTAAGGGGGAAGAAATGTGTCACCCGACTGAGCGCTTAGCCCTCTTGAGAGCCCAGTTCGATGACATCGCCTTTTCCGAGGCGACTCGTTGCAAGGTTCACACGGCCGTGCATTCCGTACTTTTGTCGCACTTTGTCGCGCGCGGGATACGCACTTGTTGTGTAAGCACTTGTCGCCACCCTTCCTGCTTCTATCCAGGACGACGTCCTTCCATTGTCGTCCCCCTTCGTCGTCGTTGTCAACGTCGTCGTCGTCGTCGTCGTCGTCGTCGCTGTCCTCGTCGTTTGATTTCTGTCGTTCACAAGTCCGAATGGAGTTCTTCCTCGGGCACACGTGACACGTGCGTCCCGCATCGACCGGACACGTGCAGGGCGCAATGTCGCTATCGAGCGCGACGAACTCACGGTACCCTAATGGTTATGGTTACAGACCACGTCGGCGCCCGTATTTTCTCTCCGTTCCGTCGCTCATCTCGAATACATCACCGCAACAGCGCTACATTAGGTAGGGGGTGTGAATAATGATTGTGTTTGAGGTCTATAGTTAATACTTTCAAAAGGGGCTCCCATCAAATCAATTGAATCCTGCATTCTACGAAATGTGTAATT